GGAGGGAGGGAGGGAACCGCACTTCATCCGTGAAGAATCGCAAGATTATAGTTTCTGGATCGCTTATCGAGCGGCCGATCGATGGCCGATCAATGGATACAGGCGATAAAAATTCAGGCAAATTTATAAGGAACGAGATATCTGGCCGAAAGAGATATCTCCCGGATTGAACGAAGCCAGGTCAGTCGTAAAAACGGCGATTAAGTTTTAAGCCTGACGTATGACGGGGAAATGGGAGAGATCGATGATTGATTTTTTAATAAGAGGATGATAAATAATAACTTTCGGATTGTTGTTAATACCAAAATCCCTTCCCAAAATCCCTTCTCTAACGTATTCATTCGAAGAAAAATTGTACGACGGAATAGAATAACGCCGGCAGGAGAATATAAGTTACGTACGTGTCCTGAAGGATTCAATTATGAAGTTTTAACAGATACGGGTTTAAACTGTGTTTCCAACTTTGAAAGCGTATCAATTTTTCTATTAAACTTGGTTCCATATCAGTTTTCCAACGCCGGGGAGGATGATTTTGAAAAAAATCGTGTTTCACCCGACGAATATACATAATTGGATAAAATGAATAAAATTATTCATTCATACGCGAAGGTGGAATGAATAAAAGGAGATGGATAATGATGTTCCGTAACGGGAGATCGAGCTGTTTTAAAGTTATAATTCAATGCATATGTAAGAGATATGGAGGGGATATGGAGAAATTTGAAACACGCGTTTTACACTGTTCGAAAGTTGACGTCCTACTACTGCACGCTTTTGAAGCATATACTCGATCGAAGGAGTATACTACGTAGGCGTTTGTAACTTTCAAAGTCGAATCAAGCTAAATAATACGTAACGCGATAGCTTCCAATCTTTTTCCTCGTGTACCCGTTTGATTCGTGCGTTATTACCCTCGATTTATTCTATAGAAGTCTCGCGTTTGATATTTTTATATGGAAGAAAAAGAAAAAAAAGAATTTTCAACAACTTTTTCGCACCACTTTTTCCGTGAAACGCACATTTTGCGACGGAAAGGAAGGAAAGAAAGAAACAAGGCGAATATTTTTATTTTTATCTCCAACTTTTAATTCTCCACCCTCTCTTTCCTCCTCATTTTTTTCTTTTCACGGCTATTTCTGTTTCTCGCTGTGTTGTGAAAATTTATGCATTATACGAGGATAAATCGAGCAGTCGCATCGATTTTCGACGAAATAATAAATCAGCTTTTTTTCCAGGTTGTCGCAGATGGCGCTCTCGAAACTCGATCGAGATTTACGAGACGAGGCCGACTTCTCGCGTAACTTCGTTGATTTTCGTGATCGCGTCACGCGTTCGTTTTGCCAAAAACGACGTTATCCCCGTGATTTCTCGCCGTTTCGAATTTCAAACCGGATATAGAAATTATCGTATCGACAAGGGAATAGTAGATACTCGATTAAAAACACAAAGAAATACAAAAAGATTAATAAAATTAAATTAGGTTAAATTTAGTTTAGGTTAAGTTAGTGCGTCGGCAGTAATAGTATTGTAATGGATCGTTACATATATGAAAAAGCTGGTGCTTGTGATCATTGATGTATTTTCTTCACGAGAAGTGCGGTTACAAATGCAGTACGCGTGTCTATAAGAGAACTGGATCTCTTGTCACAGATCGTATGTATGTATGATCGTATGATCAGATCACGATGCATAATACTATTGTCGTATGCGCAAGTCAGACTACGACGTACGTGTTCACAATGAGCGATAATTAGACTCTCTTTCAAGTCAGAATATGATGTGATGTTAGAACAAAACTATTTATTTGTCTTATCCGATGGTCAGACTACAATCTGTTTACCATTGAAACTCTATTTCAAGTGAAGTTCGTGCTCTCAGAAAATCCCTTCCTAGTTCAATTGGAAGGATCTCAGTTTCTCTTCGAATGAGGTACGATAATAACATCAGTGTCTGATTCGCGATACTTCTAAATTAAAGGAAAATTTCTCGAATTAGAATGATATTGGTTGCCGTTGAGTCAGCCGTGTTTCGAATATATCACTCTTGGGATCCGGTTTTGCTTCAACCAGACTGAAGTGTGTCAAAAATATACGATCATAAATATCGACTAAACTCTCAAAAATTATACTTCTTCTCAGATAATATATCGTTCTTTGTTTAAGCTTAATAGAGATTTGCGAGTGATAATAAGAGAAAAGGATTTCTATATTTGTTCGAACGAGCTCTTCAAAATAAATAAACGATCTCGAACAGTTAGGTTAGGTTATATAAAAAATTCGCGTATCGTTGCATCGTTGTTGTTTTCCATTCAGGTTTCGATAATCACGAAGGGATAGGAATAGGTTTGGCGTTTCGACGATATTTCCCTTGGAATCGCCGTTGTCTCTGCGGGTAAAGCAACATGCATTATGGGTCCCCGGTCGACGCCTCCTATCGGAGGCATTATCTCATTTTATTCGAAGCAACGGCGTATATACGCGTAGTGTTGCGCGTATCCCCTTGTCGATACTGTTTATCGGCCGCTTTTGTGACGTTGCAACCAGTTTATCGCGAAATGCTTACGCAAAATATTGGTCAGCGAATTTGAATATGAACTTTGGACGAGATTCAAGACAATGCGTTATCGTGGAACAAGCTCGTGAATTAATATCATCGAATAATGATCGTGGATCGACTTATCTTTTCCGATATTTAAGTATTCTCTTTCTATAAAGCGAGAAAAATTATTCTTGATATAATAAATTGATTATTATATTGAAGTTTATATTTGGAAAATAGTTAGAAGAAATGAACGGAGACGAGTGTAGTATTTTTTTTTTTTTTTGTAATATCGTGTAGTCCACTTTCTATCCGTGTATAAGTAAAATTATTCGTGGAGTTTATTTTTGAAAAACGTTAGAAGAAACGTAGATTTTTTTCCAACATTTAAATATCTCGCAATCTTCTTTCTTTCTTGAGAAGAAGATAAGGAAAATTATACACAGTGTAAATATATATTCGCGAAGCTTACCTTTGGAGAACGTTAGCCGAAAGGAAGACAGAATTGATAGTTAAGCTTATCCCTTTTTTGAGTTGAAAATCCCTTTTGTAACGTTGTAAATGTCTCATGGTCCTCTTTCAATCTGTATAAAGCAAGGAAAATTACTCTGTTATTATATATACCGTGAAGTTTATCTTTAGAAAGAAGATATTTTTTTGTAATATTTAAATAGTCTCGTAGTCTTGTTTATTTAAGCATGATATTCGAGAAGCTTACTTTGCATTCTACTTATCGAACAAATAAATCTTAATCGATACTTTTGTATATCTTTAGCCTTAGAATCGATCCTCCAATGTTGTAATACGTTTTCTTCAATACATCGAAATATTTGAAACGAGTAATTTCGAGTAATCCCTGCAAGCTCATCGTACACTTTTTCTCTTTGTCTCTATTTAAACGACGAAATTGTATATTAAAAAAAAAAAAAAGAAGAATCGAAAGAGTGAAAACGTGATTTAAAAACTTCTACCAGCTTCCCGCCGTATCCACATTTTCACAGCCGCCATCTTTAATATAAGATCCCGCCAACGCGAGCTATAATTATTCAGTTTGAAAAATTTCTGGATTTCACTTCGAGTAAAATTGCGATTAAAGAATTATTTTGAATTTTTCTTCGTTCCTTTCGATCACGAACTTTCGTGATTTTTCATTTTATTCGAAAGATAAAGACTCGTACGTACGATAAATACGAGTTTATATACTATATAAAGTGAAAGAAAAACGAAGCTAATAAATAAGAAGCGAGGAAGAAGTTGAGATGAAGTCGTATATAGCCACGAACTAATTATACGAGACACAGTGTACTTTTTAACAAAAGAGAAGGTTAAAAAAAAACCGCGAATAGATAAAGATATTATAGAAATGATTAGAGCTGGCTCGGATGGTATGGACATCTATAACGAATGGCGGAGGATAGATGGCCAAAAAAGATATTCAATTGGACCGAGCAACGGTGGAACAACGAAGAAGAAAGAGACTCGTGGAGAAAAACGAGGAAACGAAAATACGATGAATAAGGGATTCAGAAATGAAAAATGTAAAATCGAGGAAACCGTTCGGATCGATTCTTATTGCTGTGTCGATGCCTTTATTTCGTCCATCGTAATCTAAAAATATTCGATCGATCTTGATTTTTCTTTTCTTTTTTTTTTTTTTTTTAGTTTCTCGTGATCTTCCCTGATTGAATTACGTATACGCGTGTTGATTAAAATTAAGTGATAGTTTGCGATTAATTAATTCAACGGGTACACGAGAAAGAAACTCTGGGAAAAGTGGCGTGTAGATTTTTTATTTTTGCACAACTGTTTATCCGTAAGGACACGGTTGGAAAAGAGCGACGACGAGGTACGGTGGAAAATTACAAATAACGAAAAAAAAAAAAAAAAGGAAAAAAAACGTTTCAACGCGGACGTAGCCAAGGGATCGGCTTGAATTTAATGGAGCGTAGTGGCACTTGCTCTACCGTTCGCTGTTTCGGTGCAATTCGTAACACGAGGACACTGCTGCTGCGTTTTTTCCACCATAAGGATCCTATCTACGCGTTGTGATGTAAAAAAAAAATAAATAAATAAATAAATGAATAAATAAAAAATTTTAGACGAAACGTGAAATTCTGAAATGCGTTTAACACGAACAGGAAATTATTTTCTACGCTACGTATGGACGATGTTAAAAAAAAGAAAAAAAAATTGATCCGCTTTTTTTTTGTCTCTTCCCTATACACCCTTCTCTTTTTCTCTTTCTGTTCACCGTTACAGGTGAAAGATGAAGTCGCCACCGCTTTCGAGCTTGATTCCATGGATGTTTACACGGCTACGTTTCGCTTTTCACGTCCGCAGGGAAATGCAGACGCGCGTCTACGAAATGGCGCATAACGGTATGGAAAGTAAGTTGAAAAACCTCCGTCGAAGATTCGAGGCAAAAGGATCCTTCGAATTTACGCGCGAATACGAGACACGAATAACGCATTTATCAAAAATCTATTTCCCCTTCGATCTAATTTCACTGCTTTACTATTTTATATCGCGTAAAAATGGAATTTCCTTCGTAGAATATACACTATTCTACATATACCGCTGAAAAGAAGTCTCGCAAGATTGCACGAGAGACACGAGTTCTTCAAACGCTTTGTTGACTACGCTATATAATAATAGAAGAGCTATAATTTGAATATTCAAAATAGTAAAAATTATTTTCATTTATGAAATTATATTATTAGGATAATGATTCAAGATTGAAAACTATCTTTAGTATGGTTAACTTATTCGTATATTCGTTACAACATATCGTTAGAATATTCTGGATTCTATGTTACGTTAATGCTGGTTTAGGTACAGATCGTTGTTTTGGGTTAGTATATGTGACAAATACCACAGTAGAAACAAAAATGCGTGTGAAAAACGGTTACTTTCACGTTAACCAATCAGACTCGCGTTCCTTCCGCGAGACTTCTTTCCACCAATGAACAGTACTTTGTCTATCGGATGGAAACTGGTCGAAAGGTGGGAGTGAATACGCGTGGATAATAAAACTCGCTGACGGAAGGAAACGCCGATTGGTAGGTAGCCTCGAAAGTGGCGTAAAGAGAGCACTCTTGAAAGAAACGGACAGTTAACTTGGCTCGGTTAACCAAAAAGGCGAGGGGCTTATAAAATAGCGGTAAATTATTTTACCCGTAATCTTAAGAATAGATGTAATATTGGATATCATATTCGTATATACGGAGAAAAAGTGTTTAGTTTAAAAGTCAAAGGTTATTACAATTACTTCGAGATCATCGGTTTATTCGAGAATGATGTCTTTTTTTATTAAATTAAAAGTGAAAAGATAACGTATTTTTATTCTATTATCGAATCAAATGATAATTCTAGTAATATTCTAACTTGTACGATTCATTTTTGATTGAAATATTTCATGCGAGTGATAACCTTGAATAATTTGAAATTAGTGTATAATTTATTTTTGATTCGTGAAGTGATTTAATAGGCAACATTTTTTTTTTTATTAATATCATTTCAACGATACGCCTCGAACCGTTTAATGTTCGATGTAATTAAAATAGAGTATACAAGCAGCCGATAAATTTAACCTTTGTGCGTGGCACACGTAGTGGCCAAGAAAAATTCTATTTTACGATCGATAACAAGTAACTCGAGCGGTTATTTTAATCGTGGCCGTGGACGATTATTAAATATTCAAAGGATGTATAAAAATTAAATGGCAAAATTTTTAATTTCTCGCGAGTTGGCCTTCGAGCTATTTAAAGTTCAATCGATCCAAGTATATCTGCTTCGATTCTATAAAGTCTCGTACACGATCGACACATTCGCCATTTTTCGACTAAAAGTCATCGAGGCAACGAAACGATAACTTACCGACACGATTGTCAACGCATT